CATTGACACATCTCCCGAATGCGGACAGCCTTCCCGAAAACGTGGGTCTTTGTTAGTCTTCCCTAACTCCGGCCAGGGGCGAGAGGTTCCTGCAAGCCTGCTGCTGTTTAGGCATCTTGGTCTTTGATGTCTCTGTCTCTCCCCTTCAAAGAACGCAAAGACCTGATCCATCTCTCACTGACACTGTGTTTCCATTGCATCACGTGGGACTAATCATCCTTTGGGATGTACCATTTCACTCTTCTTCAGTGCCATAGGTAGAGCTGAAGCACAACGCAAATACCAAACCATCGATACTACCAATAAACAGGAATCTTGTTTTGTGTGCTGACGAAGTTCTACGCATCCAGAATGATCTACATCCTGGTTGCCAGAAGGTTTATATATTTATTTAGAAATGGTTGAAGACTTTCATGCTTAGATAAAGAAAAAAAGGAGAAAAATATTCTCCAGAAAGTTCTGCCTTCGCCGTTATTGAACCACACCCTGTCCTCTTCATATAAATAATATTGCCAAAGCCACAATCTTTCGTCATGTGGTTCCTTTTAAATAACCTTCTAGGTACTGAAGGTCAGGATGATTTTAAAAAAATAACCTGGTAGTATGAAAGAACTTTTTTTAAATGCGAAAAGACAAACAGAGGAATCCTACGCAAACTTGCCATAAATACAAAGGATGAGGATGACGATGGGTGGAATAAACCATGTTCACATTGCGTTCACCTGCGTTACTTTGTTTCAAGTTTTGTTCACTTCAGAACTCTAATATAAAAATAGAATTACTCAATTCATTGCAATTCTGAGTCCATTCTTATAGCTCTTTCTCATAGCTTTGTCCTTCGGCTCTGCTGAGAATTGTCACTTACACAACAACTACAGCCACAGCTTTGTAGATATTTTTATCCCTCTTCACGACTAAGCTTATTGCCAATATTGGCTCTACCATCTAATTAAAGTGAAGGAAGAAAAATGTAAAACTCCTTTATGTTTTCAGTTATTTTTGTCCAGTTTTTTTGCTTCTCCACATTGTTTCAGAAAGAAATATTTTGGAGAGTGGTTATTTCCTATATTTGAAATTTGTCCAAAATTTAATAGTTTCTGATAGTCTGCACAAATTGCTGGTTCTTTTTTCTATAAATATTTGCTTATTTCTGAGCTGCAGTTTTGAATTAGTTTGAGGCTGAAAATTTGGGCCCTTTGAAGGTGATTTGCAAGCAAACAGGATACCTCTGCCTTGGAGGTGGCAATGCTGACCTGTACCAGGACAGGAGGGCCCTGAAGGGTTTGGTGAGCCGAGTTCATCACACAGTTGTATCTTTTTTCCTAACCATTTCTTTAAGCCTTCATTACCCAGCTCTCTGAACATTTTAAAAGCTATCTAATACCCGGCTTTATTTTTAAAATGTTCAGTCTAAAGCAGACTATGCTATTGATTGGTAATGTTACTGTGAGAGCAGCCACGAGTCACAGTAAGGGACCAGAAATCTGTTGTCCTTGGTGATGTGCACAGCCTAAAAAAGATGATGAAAGAGCTTAATATCTAGCTGCTTCTTCCCTCCTACTCCAAAACACGGTGTGTTTTCTGGGACCCATGAGACTGCCTTGCTGGAGGACAAGTGCAGATTCAAAAAGATCTAAAAGGCAGGGTTGTAGAAGAATTTGAAATTGTAAGGTTCTGCTTTAATCCTGTTGTAATTTTTGATAACTGAGAGTTCTCTGCAGCCTTTGAGAGCACGGCTGGGCAGACGACAGCTGGAGAACTGGCCTTACCGCCCGTCTGCCCCGAATATCCCTGAAACTGCTTCTCCTTCTCCTCAGTGAAGGAGAAGCTGACGGGGCAGGACAACCCCGGCCCCTGCCCCTGCCCAGAGGCAGTGAAGGCAGTGCAGGCACACACTCCTCTGTCCTCCGCTTTCCTCTCCTCCTTTCCACCCCAAGTCGGGGGCAGCCTCATCGCTAGCTGAGGGCTGGCAGAAGGTTTGCCTTCCCCCCAAGTCTGGTCCAGAGGCAGGCTGGGAGGAGGGCAGGCAGAGGTACGCCGGCAGGTCAGGGTACCTGAGCCCAGCATCCCTCTTGGTGTTGGCCCCAAGGCCCAGCTCTGGCTTCCTCCGCTTTCCTCTCCTCCTTTCCACCCCAAGTCGGGGGCAGCCTCATCGCTAGCTGAGGGCTGGCAGAAGGTTTGCCTTCCCCCCAAGTCTGGTCCAGAGGCAGGCTGGGAGGAGGGCAGGCAGAGGTACGCCGGCAGGTCAGGGTACCTGAGCCCAGCATCCCTCTTGGTGTTGGCCCCAAGGCCCAGCTCTGGCTGGCTGTCCCCAGCACCTCTCTCCTTCCCCCTGCCTCTGCCTCCCCACAGCAGCATTTCCTCCGTGCCACGGACACAGGGACCCCTCTCCCACCTGCTGCCCACCGCACACCTCCTCTTTCCTCCTGAAACCTTCCTTGAAAAACAAACCACCATCCCCAAACCCACATATTTTTTCCAAGCAACCCTCCCACTTTCTGTTTGCCTCACCCTCTCCCTCATTATCCTGGGTCTCGCTTTTGTTTTTCTTGGCTATTTTGGGCCGGAGGCTCTTTGGGAAGGGAACAAGGTTTACGTGTCGCCTGCTCAGGATGTGAAGTGTTCGATTCCTTTCAGCCGAATGAAGCTGCATTGATAAATGAGGCATAAACTGGCTGAGGACTGTCGACCTGCGTGTGGGCACCTGGTTAGCTGAATCAGCTTTAACAGGTACAACTCATTAAACAGGTGTAACTTTAGAAAAAACAAAACAAAACTATTTTAAAAGGCACAGGTAATAGTTTAATGCTGAAGTTTCCCAGGAAATCCAGTCAAGGCTATACTCTTCTGTGGTGAAGTATAGCATTGTTCATATGGTAGCTATAGTATATATACTCTGCGGCTCTGAGCACCTTCTTCAGTACTGTCATTCACGAAGGACCACAAACATTTAGTGTTATTTAGAAGTGAGAGTTACATATAATTATTTGGAAGTATAAACATATAAATGAAAAGCAACTGCTTTTCTCCAGCCAGTAGCTCTGTTGAAGTGATTCCACTGATACATTTTTAAACTATATTTCTACTGGATACAATAACTATACTACCAATTGCTAAATCATTGTATTAAACAGAGCTAACGTAGAAAGGATGAAGATGGAAATGTTTAGAAGAGGTGAGTGGGATCCTCTTTGTTGTGCTGCCAGTAAGATGATTGTTCTCATTTTAATACCTACAGCACCCCAAACCTACACATCTGGCAGAGTTATGGAAACATCTGTTCTCTATTTTGCAAATTTGAGACTCTGTTGTTATCATCTTTTAATTATATGTAAAAACAGTTTCTGTTGTAAAGGATGTAAATTATTTCAATTGCATCAACACAAAACTAGGAATTTTTGTGTGTTCAACACCGTTTCTCAGCTATGCTGATAAATGAGATGCTAATACATAGCATGTGAAAGATAAAAGGGAGTTTACTCCTTTTTATACAAAAAAGTGTTGTAAGAATTCAGTGAAAAATGAAACCCAGGTATTTTAAAGCAATATGTCCCACTTGTACTCTCTGTAAGGAGAGCACTTCTGATGAGCACCTATCCTGTCTACCAGGAATCTCTTTCTCATTCTTTGCTTAAGATCCTCTCATCTGTAATAGGGGAATATTTGTCATACAAGTCTAAATGGTGATGGCTTTTCCTTCCTTTACACAAGGGAAAGAATATGTTGAATACTCAAGCTCTGTGCGCGTGGTTTGAAGTATAGAACCAAGAGTACAGTCTGTCTCTGGAGCCACTGAAGCCTTTAGCTTGCACTGTGAATGATCACTGGTCCTTAAAATTATGTGAGCTTTCAATAACCACACTCATGCACTCCCTGTTCCCTTTTTTTGGGACTCATCTCTTCGCAGGTGCCTCATTCGGTAGCTGAGGGCAATGGTAAATGATTTTTTTATTTTGGTGTGACCTCTCTGTGCTCCCTTCCTTTAAACATAGTGGCAATACGTGAGGCTTTCCAAGCCTGTCAGGGCCATGCATCATCTTTCCTCCATGAAATTACAAGCTGTGGTTAGGGCAAAGGTTGTGAGCTCTCCAAGAATGACACCGGGCCAAGAGGAATGCTGGGCCAAATACATCTATGGAGTTGTAATCGGCCGTACTGCAGTCACCCAGGCCCTCTGAACTAGAACCTTTGATACCTTTTCACCTTCTTTCACACCTGTGCAGTGACCACGAAAAGCCAGTGCTGGTCAATATTTGCTTGGCTCACATATTAACTACTAGACCAGACAGAGAGTAGCGGAGAGCCAAGCCCAAGATAAGCAGCGAAATCCACATGGTCTGTCTTTGTTATTAGTTCCTACTTCAGAGTCAAGAGTAAAACACCAGTCAAAAAGTAGACTGAAAAATTTAATTGTTTTATAAAATAAGATTATGAAATTCTATATAAAAATCCAGCTTTTTAAATATGGTACATTCACTTCCTCACAGAATATTTAAATATTCAGGTCACTTGCGCTATATTTTCATTGTATTTGAGTTAAAATCATTGGATAAATTAAAACATCCCTACCAAAAGATACCACAACTTATACAAATAAAACTAAGCAATAATACCTTTTTAAATACAAAATGTAAAGAAATTAATAACTCTTAGAGCATGCTACAAAATTTTGCCAGAAAAATATATGAGATCATTTTTGTTTAACTAGAAAATATACAGTGTGCTTTTCATTTCTCTTCCAAAAATTCAGTCTCATACAATTTCCATTTAACTTAATAAATATGTACAACAACAATGTTTATTCCTTGAAGAATATAAATAGCAAATACTGTAGTAGAGCCTAGTCCAGCATTCTTTTCTCATCTAGTGACTATAGTGGGGCTTTTCAACTCTCAATGTGCAAAAATGCAGAATCAGGCTCTTAGTGTTATTAACTTGGTAATAGCTTTTACAAAAGTGATTTTATTAAAAAAAAACCTTCCAAAAACACTGCAAAAGACCTGTCTGTAATTAGGGAAAAATAGTCAGTGGAGAATGAAAAGTATCTTGAATTACACACATCTTACTGTCACTGATTTAAGTTGGTTCCCTACCATTTCTAAGAATAGTTTCTGGTATAATCTATACATTGTAAATCTGTGCAGAAACTTAATCACTTTCTTCAGGCTTTGGATGGTTCGTTTCGGAAAGTGGTATGTTTTCAAGTGCTTCAGTCCGTACATTAAACCTTTAATGGTGTCTTGGTCACCATTCTTTATTCTCCACAGATTGAGAAGCTTCAGGACTTGCTCTGTAGGTTGACAGAGTTTCATTGTGCGCTCGATATCTTCTTTCCCCACTTTCTTGCCTGGTAAGCTTGCCATCAGTGTGTTCAGATGTTCAAAGGTGAGGTTCGGGTGGCCAATATGCCTTAAGACACTATTTTCACAAAGATCAATATCTATACAAAGCAAAAAGAATAACAGAAGGTAAGTATTTTACAACTTTAGTATATTATGACTTCACCATGCCCTGCAAAAAAAATTCAAAATTTCAAGGTGAATATTCCTTCCCATTATTTTTTTTACTTTATTTCAAATAATTCTCTCAGCAATGCTTTTTTTCTGGGCTCCAGTTATGAAAGGTATTTAAGAATTTAATTAATTTTGCAAATATAAACAGCCCCAAATGACAAACAAACTTCGTAGCAAGCATTTATTGCTATACACTTGTTTCATTTATCTTGTAAAATTTTTTGTGTATGTGATAGGAGTCCTAATATTTGGTTCCAGTGAATGATAATCTTGCTTTTCTTCAGAAATATCTGGGCAAGCTTTGCTAAAATACTCATTTTGGTTTTTGAAGTATTCTAGACACTTCACAGTCTGACATAAGCATACATATTAAAAAGGAGAGGGAGAAAAAAACATTTCTGCAGCATTTTTCAAATCTATTTCGAGTGGACAAAAGGTCCTTCGAATGTGGCGGTTGTTGGTGGTGGCTTACATGAAAAGAGTTGTCCCGACTCAGAAAAACCTCGGTGTTAACACTGCAGCACTATTCACCTTTGACACCTGTCTTGGCAGATGCAGCACAAACAAAGCGGTGAATTGGCATGACAAACAGGTATCGGAAGGGAAAAAGAAGGGAAAGCCTGTCTGTGTATTCCTCACTCCCGTGCGCTCCTGTTCCGTGACTACATGTCCTCGTTCGAGCTGTCAGTCTCCACTTTACAGCAAACAAATTGCATTCTCAGTGGCAGGCATCCAGCTCCCTCTAACCTCAACAGCCGCCACTCAGAACAGCGGCAAACATTTTCCCCACTTGATCAAAATTCATCATATGTTGTTGTGCTGGTTTTGGCTGGGATAGAGTTAATTTTCTTCGTAGTGGCTTGCATGGGGCTATGTTTTGGATTTGTGCTGCAAACAGTGTTGATGATACAGGGATGTTTTAGTTATTGCTGAGCAGTGCTTACACAGCATCAAGGCCTTTTCTGTTTCTCACCTCACTCACCAGCGAGTAGGCTGGGGGTGCACAAGAAGCTGTGAGGGGACACAGCTGGGACAGCTGACCCCAACTGACCAAAGGGATATTCCATACCATATGACTTCATCATGCTCAGCAATAAAAGCTGAACGAAGAAGAAGGAAGCGATGGTGTTTGTCTTCCTAAGTCACCATTACGCGTGATGGAGCCCTGCTTTCCTGGAGATGGCTGAACACCTGCCTGCCGATGCGAAGCAGTGAATGAATTCCTTATTTTGCTTTGCTTGCGTGCGCAGCTTTTGTTTTACCTGTTAAACTGTCTTTGTCTCAACCCATGAGTTTTCTGACTTCTACCCTTCCAATTCTCTCCCCCATCCCACCAGGGGAGGCAGAGTGAGCGAGCGGTTGTGTGGGGCTGAGTTTTCAGCTGGGGTTATACCACGACAGTTGTGCAGTCTCCATAGGGGGTCTTGGTTGCAACACCACACACGCTCCCAAGGGGCTTACAAGTCGGGGAAGAACTCAGTCCTTGACTGATCAGGAGAAGCTGAATTCTCTTCCTGCTTCCCCTCAACTTCACTGTGCTTGCTGCATCAATAAATCTCAGTCAAGCCCTGCAGGTCCTCCTCAGAGCACAGCACATCACCAGGAGGTATTTGATCCCAAGCAATTTTTAAAATGCCATTTAGAAGGTTGCTTTTAATATACGTGCTATCAAAATAAGGTACCTTGAATAATCTTCTTGACCATATCCTGTTCTTTGTTTTGCTGCTTCCATAATTTCAAAAGCTGGAAGGTCTGCTCTTGAGTGCCGTGCCTTTGTTTAATTCTTTCAATGTTTTCTGTGCTGACCTTTGTCCCAGGCAAACTGTCTGCTAGCATGTTCAGCCAGTTCGGTGTGAGGTAACTAGGAACAGCAAACCTGAAAAAAACCTCCTCACACAGGGTTACGTCTGAAATGAGAAAGAGAAAGAATATGTCAGCTCTTCTGATCTGTTACCCTGCTTGTCCCTGACAAAAGAGCAAGTAGCAGGGGTGATAAGAAAAAATGTCTAAAAAACAAAGTAAGAAGTGGCCTTTATAATGCTATTGCTCCCTTGTGCTTGAGTTCCATTTGGCCTGACCTACAAGAATTGAAACTGTACAGTGGCCATCACCATAGAAGGCAATTGGCTAACAAGTTAAATATTTTTATCATAAATGTTGATACATTCATTTTAACTATAATTAAAGGTATCTTTTTAGAACACTTTTCCTTACTATGACACAGACCTATTCCGCATTTCTGAGGTGCCGTATCTGTGTTTTCCTGACAGATGTTGTCACGAACTGCATTTCCCTTCAACGCTGTTTTGAATCCCAGTGCACTGCAGTTTGTGTGCTTTAGACAGGCTGCTTTGGATGATGTTTCATTTGAGAAAAATCCTTCTGGACATCTCTTACATACAGTGTCACTCTCAGGGGTACCTGCGGAAACAGGAAAACAATGCATCCAATTACATATAACCTCCACTGTGACAAAAAAAACCCGAAGAATACAAAAATAAAAGAAAATATTCCTCCCAAAATTGTCATGTAGGGAAACAATATTCCAGTTTAATTACTGCTGGCAGTAATTAGGGAAAAATAGTCAGTGGAGAATGAAAAGTATCTTGAATTACACACATCTTACTGTCACTGATTTAAGTTGGTTCCCTACCATTTCTAAGAATAGTTTCTGGTATAATCTATACATTGTAAATCTGTGCAGAAACTTAATCACTTTCTTCAGGCTTTGGATGGTTCGTTTCGGAAAGTGGTATGTTTTCAAGTGCTTCAGTCCGTACATTAAACCTTTAATGGTGTCTTGGTCACCATTCTTTATTCTCCACAGATTGAGAAGCTTCAGGACTTGCTCTGTAGGTTGACAGAGTTTCATTGTGCGCTCGATATCTTCTTTCCCCACTTTCTTGCCTGGTAAGCTTGCCATCAGTGTGTTCAGATGTTCAAAGGTGAGGTTCGGGTGGCCAATATGCCTTAAGACACTATTTTCACAAAGATCAATATCTATACAAAGCAAAAAGAATAACAGAAGGTAAGTATTTTACAACTTTAGTATATTATGACTTCACCATGCCCTGCAAAAAAAATTCAAAATTTCAAGGTGAATATTCCTTCCCATTATTTTTTTTACTTTATTTCAAATAATTCTCTCAGCAATGCTTTTTTTCTGGGCTCCAGTTATGAAAGGTATTTAAGAATTTAATTAATTTTGCAAATATAAACAGCCCCAAATGACAAACAAACTTCGTAGCAAGCATTTATTGCTATACACTTGTTTCATTTATCTTGTAAAATTTTTTGTGTATGTGATAGGAGTCCTAATATTTGGTTCCAGTGAATGATAATCTTGCTTTTCTTCAGAAATATCTGGGCAAGCTTTGCTAAAATACTCATTTTGGTTTTTGAAGTATTCTAGACACTTCACAGTCTGACATAAGCATACATATTAAAAAGGAGAGGGAGAAAAAAACATTTCTGCAGCATTTTTCAAATCTATTTCGAGTGGACAAAAGGTCCTTCGAATGTGGCGGTTGTTGGTGGTGGCTTACATGAAAAGAGTTGTCCCGACTCAGAAAAACCTCGGTGTTAACACTGCAGCACTATTCACCTTTGACACCTGTCTTGGCAGATGCAGCACAAACAAAGCGGTGAATTGGCATGACAAACAGGTATCGGAAGGGAAAAAGAAGGGAAAGCCTGTCTGTGTATTCCTCACTCCCGTGCGCTCCTGTTCCGTGACTACATGTCCTCGTTCGAGCTGTCAGTCTCCACTTTACAGCAAACAAATTGCATTCTCAGTGGCAGGCATCCAGCTCCCTCTAACCTCAACAGCCGCCACTCAGAACAGCGGCAAACATTTTCCCCACTTGATCAAAATTCATCATATGTTGTTGTGCTGGTTTTGGCTGGGATAGAGTTAATTTTCTTCGTAGTGGCTTGCATGGGGCTATGTTTTGGATTTGTGCTGCAAACAGTGTTGATGATACAGGGATGTTTTAGTTATTGCTGAGCAGTGCTTACACAGCATCAAGGCCTTTTCTGTTTCTCACCTCACTCACCAGCGAGTAGGCTGGGGGTGCACAAGAAGCTGTGAGGGGACACAGCTGGGACAGCTGACCCCAACTGACCAAAGGGATATTCCATACCATATGACTTCATCATGCTCAGCAATAAAAGCTGAACGAAGAAGAAGGAAGCGATGGTGTTTGTCTTCCTAAGTCACCATTACGCGTGATGGAGCCCTGCTTTCCTGGAGATGGCTGAACACCTGCCTGCCGATGCGAAGCAGTGAATGAATTCCTTATTTTGCTTTGCTTGCGTGCGCAGCTTTTGTTTTACCTGTTAAACTGTCTTTGTCTCAACCCATGAGTTTGCTGACTTCTACCCTTCCAATTCTCTCCCCCATCCCACCAGGGGAGGCAGAGTGAGCGAGCGGTTGTGTGGGGCTGAGTTTTCAGCTGGGGTTATACCACGACAGTTGTGCAGTCTCCATAGGGGGTCTTGGTTGCAACACCACACACGCTCCCAAGGGGCTTACAAGTCGGGGAAGAACTCAGTCCTTGACTGATCAGGAGAAGCTGAATTCTCTTCCTGCTTCCCCTCAACTTCACTGTGCTTGCTGCATCAATAAATCTCAGTCAAGCCCTGCAGGTCCTCCTCAGAGCACAGCACATCACCAGGAGGTATTTGATCCCAAGCAATTTTTAAAATGCCATTTAGAAGGTTGCTTTTAATATACGTGCTATCAAAATAAGGTACCTTGAATAATCTTCTTGACCATATCCTGTTCTTTGTTTTGCTGCTTCCATAATTTCAAAAGCTGGAAGGTCTGCTCTTGAGTGCCGTGCCTTTGTTTAATTCTTTCAATGTTTTCTGTGCTGACCTTTGTCCCAGGCAAACTGTCTGCTAGCATGTTCAGCCAGTTCGGTGTGAGGTAACTAGGAACAGCAAACCTGAAAAAAACCTCCTCACACAGGGTTACGTCTGAAATGAGAAAGAGAAAGAATATGTCAGCTCTTCTGATCTGTTACCCTGCTTGTCCCTGACAAAAGAGCAAGTAGCAGGGGTGATAAGAAAAAATGTCTAAAAAACAAAGTAAGAAGTGGCCTTTATAATGCTATTGCTCCCTTGTGCTTGAGTTCCATTTGGCCTGACCTACAAGAATTGAAACTGTACAGTGGCCATCACCATAGAAGGCAATTGGCTAACAAGTTAAATATTTTTATCATAAATGTTGATACATTCATTTTAACTATAATTAAAGGTATCTTTTTAGAACACTTTTCCTTACTATGACACAGACCTATTCCGCATTTCTGAGGTGCCGTATCTGTGTTTTCCTGACAGATGTTGTCACGAACTGCATTTCCCTTCAACGCTGTTTTGAATCCCAGTGCACTGCAGTTTGTGTGCTTTAGACAGGCTGCTTTGGATGATGTTTCATTTGAGAAAAATCCTTCTGGACATCTCTTACATACAGTGTCACTCTCAGGGGTACCTGCGGAAACAGGAAAACAATGCATCCAATTACATATAACCTCCACTGTGACAAAAAAAACCCGAAGAATACAAAAATAAAAGAAAATATTCCTCCCAAAATTGTCATGCTTCTGATTTTCGTATTTCTGATCTTTGAAGGAATCACATTTAGGAGAAAAAAAAAAAAACAACTCTTGAAATTTTAAAAACAAAAAAGATTCTTTAAGAGAATAATGTTTCTGCTAGAGTAATAAATAGTACTCTTACATACCCTTGTTACCAACTTTAAAATCAGTAATTACAGATTAAGTCAGTTATTTAATAAAGTAATATCTTTAAATTAGTAATTACTTGAGGCTATTCTGGCATTACATGATGTCTGACCTTCATCCTTCAACAGTACAAATATTCTGTAAAATAATTAAATGGCACAAGACACTCCTCTAAATTCTGTTCTCTGATATCTGCCCAGAACCTTACTCGAATGGGTCACTTTAGTTCTAGCCAAAAGTATAACTCAACTGAATATCAACGAAAGACCCTCTGAAAAGTACTTTCCTTGCTTAGATAAGAAATTGTAGAGGAAAATAAAATTTCAGTAGCATTACTGAACTTTCTTCTGGGCTTGACTAAAATATTATTCAAAGCAAAGAAGCAGATCATCCAGTATAGCAAATATATTTAATGTACATATATGTATTTTGCTTGGTGTTTTATAAGACATAGTTTTACTTCAGGATCAAATATATGATACAATAATGTAATGACAATATATGGTTGTATCACATTGACAAAGAGAAAGAAAACTAAAGCGTGAATTTTTAAACAATGCAAATAGTCTAACCACCAGCAGCACTAAAAGAACAGCACCAATAAATGCTGTACATTCACTCTTAATTCATCTTTATTCACCCAACACTTAAGTGTCTAGAATCTAATATCTAATATTGCATTATTGAACATGAACTTAAGCACATGCTTAAAATTTGTTGGAAATAATTGGAACCTATATTTGAATAAGAAAATACCTCCATCTAGTGTATTTTGGAAGTATTTACGTGTGGACGCTTATTTTAATGCTAGCTTTGAAACAAATTTTATTTATTTTTGGCATTTCCTTGGAGAAGAAGAGTATGAATCTCAAGTTTTTCAACCAGCCGTGAAATAAAGAACAATGCTTGCATACACCTGATCTAGCAGTTCTTTCATCAGACAACAAGTGAAAGCGAAGGAGAAGTTTTAGTTGTCGTGCACCTGAAAACTGGAGACCCTGTATGTTGCCAAACTCCCCACACACACTCAGTGTCGCCTCACCTTGCACAGCCAAGGCACCTGAGCAGGCAGCAATTAGCTCAGCTGAGAAGTCTGAATTTTTAGCAACTTTCCCTGCTGCAGACACGCTGACGTTGTGCTCCAGCAGCGAGGAAGGGGAAGAAAGGGGAGTCCCTGCAAACGGTTCATCGTTCTGCTCAGTTTCCCGTATAACCTCCGCAGCACAAGAGGGAAATAAAACAGATTATCCATCAGCCTTCTCTGCGTTGAGCAGAAAGTCACCTCCCAGCTTTGTCAGCTGCTTCTTTGCTGCTTATCTGCCTGCTTGTGTTGAGGGCACACACGGCTGGAGGCCCGGCCGCACTCTTTTTTTTTTCCCCGTTGTCCCAGGGAAGGCGCCAGCCGCGCCAGGAGACAGAGCTGCCTCGCAGCAGCGATGCTTCTCCAGCACGACGCTGCCAAAAACTCTGCCGCCGTACAGGGCCCACCGCCGCAGAAAGGAGCAAAACCTGAATCTGCACTCATGAAACGGGACTACCACAGTGAAGTGGTCTGCCCAAAGTAATCGTGAGCGACTGGCAGTGGGGAAACAGATTTCCACTGCGTTAAGCTTTGAATGAGATGCTGGAGCACGCTGTCTCCCTCTACGGCAGCGGAAGCGTGTTTTTCTATACTTAGGTTTTATTTCACCTGAATTCA